TGTATAGTGATAAAGGGGTCGAATCCACGAATATTGGTTCAATTTTATAACTCTATGAGAAATCTCTTTGTAAAAATACTTGTAAAATGACAATAAATTAAAAATAGGGGTGGTCTTTTGAAATACTAGAAATAAACTAGAATTAAACTAATATTTAAATTAACAATTTCAACAAAAATAATATTTTGATGTGAAATCAATAAGAGAAGGATGATTGACTTAAGGTTTCCTCACTTTGAGTTTTGATAAACATATCATTAGAATCCAATGGTGCAATACTTGATTTAAATCCTTAATTTGTCTATAGTAATCCAAGAAGCTTGAGATTACCTACACTTTTCTTAGTTGTTAAAATGGTTAGAGAAGCTCATAACAATTTCCTTACTCAAAGTCACAATTTCCAATAAGCATGTAATAAGTAAAGTCAACTAGTATTAAGAACGAAAAAGTCACCAAATCCAAGAGGAGTCAAATGCTTTCACTACCATGTTAGAGGAACTGTTTTTATGATTGTGTGAAGCAAAAACAACACAAAAATCTTTTGTTGCTTGCTAATTTGAGTTTCCTTTACTTAATCAAGAAATTAGCCAACTAATCACCACAAACAAATTTAAACTCATGAATAAAAACATACAAGTAGAGATAAGATGTTAAAACACAAAACATTCCCATAAAGATTTAAGAACATGTTCATGGATTCTTCAACATTCAACAAAAGTTCAAAGGATTCAACAAAAGTCAACCAAGATTAGTTTAGCCAAGCATGGCTAAACTCAAAGAAACAAAGTTAGAGAAGATTATACCAAACATTAAACAAGAATCAAGAGGTGAAAAGATGATGTTCTTGAGGTGTTCTTGGCCTTCAAAAGTCTCCAAAACTCCAGAGAGAATGCTCAAAAATCGGATGTCCAAGAGTGTGCAAAAGGATGGGCACCAACCTTCCTCAAATAGCCTTGCAAATGGATTTTTGAAATTACCCCTGCAGGGCCTTGTGCGACCCGCGTGCTGTTGCACCGGTAGGTTGCGCCAGTGGTGCCTGAAATGGGCTTCTTTGAGGTTTGGGCCTCCATAGCGTATCCCACTTGGTCCGGTTCGAGTCCAGTCAGCTCCTAGCCTTTTTTTTCTTCAAGTTTTCTTCAATTTAAACACAATTTGGCTTCTCCAAATGATCCAATCTTGCCCGGTTAATAATCTACGCACACTTGAATAAACTCCTGCATCTTGCAAATTTAAAGTTTATTTCTCTCCAAGCCTTCAAATAATCATCAAGCTCGCTCCATGCATCATCTCCACTAACCATCAAGCCTAAGATCCTTATTGTCCACCAATTTTCATCGATTTCCATACGTCCCGAACATTCCCGCTGCACTAGTCTCCATGAAATCTGCAATAAAGCTCACAAAACTAGAAAGTACCTAAAATAGTCATAAAATAACAAAAAGGAAAATATGCATGGAAATTAACTAAATTATGGATGAAATATGCTAAAATAAACTAAAAAAAAGAAGTAAATAAAATAAAACTATGAAACCACCCCAAGCTTAAACCTTACTTGTCCTCAAGTAAGACAATACTAAAATAAACTTGGGGTGAACTATCTTAAGAAAAATAAAAAGAATGGATAGAACTGCGAAACCTGGTCACAGTTAGTCAACATGGTCAGAATTAATCTTGCTATTATCTCATTACTTTTTCATCTGATGACAATGGAACCATAAACCACAGCCAGGAAAACTCCTATAGGTGAGTAAGGAGGGATGGACAGTCGTAGCCCCAATGGAACACGCATACAATAAAGAACATCTGTAGTAGGGAGAAAGCAGTTGGATGGGCTCGTGTGGAGCTCTTCTTTTCTCACACCCCAAAACCGAGAACGATGAAATATGTTCTGGGGTGGAGGACGTCATGTTAAGTATCATAACAATGCATAATAGTAAAAACAAGCAACCATATCTGTTGCATTAATATAATAATTGTAATACAAGCGTATTCTGTACATTCATGTAGACACCAAAAGTATAAACAAAATAAAAGATGAGTCTTATCTGTGCCCCATCTTCCAAAAACTGCACCAGTATCTGTTTATTGTTGACCTGAGAATACAAGTTATTTTGAAAAACGAGTATCATCATAAAGCTGGTGAGTTCATAAGTATTTAGTGTCACTGTTTGTATAAAAGTGTTTACAAATCGTATAGTATGACATTTATTAACAAAGTTTGAGATGGTTTGATTCCCTAGAAAATCCCATATTTTCCAGCAAAAGTAGTCTTTTACCAAGACTTAGTTATTTTAAATTTGTTTCTTTGAAAATGTAATAGTTTTCTTATGAAAATATCGGAAATGAAAAATACAATTTAAACTTGTTCATTATAGAGAAATAATAGAGTTTCACCCCTAGCAACGTCCTTGCCGGTTATATGTAATAGTGAATGTAAACTCTGAATAGTTTTAATTTTGTATACACCTCGGGGTGTGTGTTTAATTAAGGTTTGAATGTCAGCTCGTATCTAATCATACCGAATGATAGTAATACAGCGACTGATCCTCCAGGTCACCGATATTGAACTAGTGTTTTGTCAACGGATGCTCTGATATGACTGTTCAAGTGTGCTATCGATACAAGTGTAGAGTGTTTGACGTAGGGTTCAAGTGTGCTATCGTTATGAGTGTCGAGTGTCAACAGCTGCTCTGAACGCAAGTAGCCCCTATTAATCATATTGTGACACATATATAAGTTAGAGCTAGGGTGTTTCATGACTAAAATGATGGGAAATGACCCTAAGGACTTGGAATCACTCGGACTAAGTGTCCTATATTATATACTCAATGATCTATGCAAGTTTAAGACCAAATATGAGTATTAGGGTGGGTGTATAACCATAAAAGTGAGTGTGCGGCTGGGGAATGCGGCCAGACTTGTGTGTGAGGCTGCACACTAGAGTGTGCGGCCGTATAGGGTGTGTGTGTGGCCGTACACAGGGGTATGCGGCCGTACACTCCATGTTTGAGTCCTATGTGTCGATTGTGTGGCCACACTCTCACTTTGGAGGGTGTTTTGAATGTGTGCGGCCACCTGATGAAGGTGTGCAACCGCACTCCTTCAAGGAGTGAAGAACACGAAGAACACTATGAGTTTTGGGCTTGGATTCAAGTGTTTTACCTCTATAACAAGCTGAAAAATGATGCTTTTCACGTTTTGGAGGCCTTCTAAGTGTTCTTGGGTGATGTTTTTAAAGAGAGAAGGTAGTGAGAGGAAGAGAGTGCAGCCAAAAGTGAATGGAAAGGGGTCCTCTACTATATATAGGGTCGTGTGTGTTGCTGGAGGGGGTTTGCGGTTGGGTGTGCGGCCACACACACCTCTCTTGGTGTGTTTGGCTGTATTTTGCGATGCAACACCCTTCCTAACCCTTTCTATGGCACTCGTCTATGATATACTAAGCCTAAAACACTCGTGCGGACCCAACATTTTGCTAAAAGATGCTAAATTCATGTGAATTATAGATATATGGATCGATTTCACAATGTAAAAGTGTCGGGTTGTCACATCTTTAAGTGTACACTATGATCTCACATCTGCCGGTTTCTCTCTTGTGTAATTGGGTATAATCGCTCGGGCGTTGTTGTAGGAATCGGTTCACTTAGTGTTGGCTCAAACCTCCCGTAGCATCTGAATCGACAGTCTCCCTAACATCACCAATTTGCGAAAAACAACTCAATCTATATACAATAAAACAAGCCTATATAAATGAATATTAAACGCCGGGTGACCAAAATGTTGGAAAATTTGTTCAATAATTGAACCGGTCACCCTTCTCAGATAGTTGCAGCTGGAAATTTGCCTATCATTTTTTTTAAGGTAATGTATTAACAATCGAAATTTTTAACAAGAAAACCCTTTGACTGAAAATTTGGTTCCTAAAAGTGTGTCAGTGGAACCGAAGGGGTAGTAATATAATCTGAATGGTCTGAGTGTGAAAATGACCATGTGTGGAGCATAAAGATGTAATGTAAGCTCCTTTTCAAACTTTCAATTTTTCAAAAATAATGAAAATGTCCACATGCGGACTAAAAGACTCTAAAATCCTAATAAAATCGCAAAAAGATATGGTGATGTAAAGAGACCATATATGGCTTCTACTTAGGGACAAGCACCAGTGCTTCATCCTAACGGTTCAAACATGATCAAGTGTGATCCTCTCAGCGGTACTTACCACAAGGCTAAGAACATCCATTGTTATAGTATATCCTACAGTTGTTAGTATTGCATGCATAATTCTTCATGAAAATAACCTGACCATGATCACTTACCCCATTAAGTTCCCGGCATCTGATCCCAATTATGAAATCCCAAACTGCAACCAATGGTCCCGGTTTGATGGGTGAGATATCAACAAGATCCTGGACCAAAAATGATACAATAACTGTGAACTTGTTCCATGGCATCCAAGGGGGTGAGAATAAACGGACAAAAAAAATGCATGAATGCTAATGCCTAAGCTAAATGTTATGCAAAAGTATAAAGGGGACAAGAAGAAAATAAAATATTTTTGGGTTTTTAAAAAAATAAATAAATAAAATGAATGAAAATTAGGTTAAAACTAAAATATTATGCAACCTAATTTAAAAAAAGTGCATGAAAAAGTAAAAGGAAAAGGGAAAAGCCCCACCCCAAGCTTAAGAACAAGCATTGTCCTCAATGCTTAAGGTAAGGGCAGAAATGACCTAAATCGGGGGGATCGGGCGGTGGGATATGCCCATGGCGATAGTGGTAGTCCCACATATCCTGGACCTGAACCGAAGTGGATGGGAAGAACGTCTTCAGTTGACTAACGCGTGTTGCCACATCTTGGATGGCCTATGTGTTCGCTTGCGTTTGAGTGTCAATGCGCTGGACTGTAGAGAACATCATGGCAAACTGGTCAAAAAATGTAGGGGGAAATATGATGGGACTTCGTGTCCCCCCTGCTGATGCGGCTGGTCAACATGCTATGGAGGGGCCTAGATTTGGTCATGTTGATACATCGGCTGCTGCACCGAAGGTTGGTCAAAATGGTCTTCAGCCTCGGGCATCTCATCGTCCTCTTCGTCGCCTTCTTCCTCAGGCTCCTCTGCGTTGTCACCCTCATCATCGCCAAATTCTGGAAAAACATCTGCTTGGGTCAACTGATCCGGGGTAAGACAAGTGTTGGGGTCGTCGTCATCGAATGAAGAACCGATCCAACTTGGGAAGATGTAAACCGGGGTTTTGTCAGAGTCTAACCAACTGTACGTGCGAGTTCCCCAATCGAGCAACATCTCCATCTGAATGAGAGTGTCACAGTCTAGCAGGAAGTTTGGCAGGGTATCGACAAGTATGTACTCGAGAGCAGGGAAGTCTAGTCCGACGGCTCGACCTATGATCGTGATAAGTCCCTCGATGAAAATTTTCCCCGTAGTTCGCTGATGTATGGAGTCACATTTGTCTAAAAAGAAGCCTGAAAAACTGAGCGAGAGTCTACGCATCATGCTTCTGAGGAAAAATAGCTCACATATGTTGATTTGACCGGGCTCGAGGCACCCGAAGATGCTTGTTGTGAGAACTCGGTGAAAGTTCGCCAGCATGGGTGAACGATGTGCTTGGCTCGCTATCGGCTCGGGTTGAAGGTAGTGAGACCGGAAATCTGCATCCAAAAGCACGCATCCGGGTTACGCAGAAAATCTTGGTACTCTTGATGTTAGGGACTGGTGCAGTCTGGATCGTCAACACCCATGATGGAATCGAGCTCTGCATATGTGAGCCTATGGTACTCCCCTTTCAACTAGAATGTGAGGACTTTCATAACATCATCTCGTGCATATGTGCTAAGAAATTCCATTGTGGGTTCTCGTAAGTTCTATCACAGAGTCGAAGGAAACCACGCCAACCCAATTTTAGGAACAAATTCTATACACCATCATGTACTCCAAGCTTTTTCATGGACTTTCTATGGTAGAATTTTGTCAGCCGGATTGTGAGACCTCGAAGGTCGGAGCGATAGGTTTTGATTTCAGCATTGGTAACGGAAAGATCGCTTCCGTCTGCTCCTCCTTTTTTTTTTGTTTACCGGCTGCTTTTTGTGATGGACCGGCGACATCCTTTTGCGGATTAGGATCAACGAATGATCCATGGGATCGTGGCCAAGTTGCAGTTTTGCCCATTTTCAAGGCCTACAATATCAAAAAAAATTCACCAATGTAATCCCTCACCTTACCACTCTCAAAGCAATGAAACTATCTTTAAACCGAACACAAATATTCCAATAAATAATGGCACCCAACTTTTGACAATTCTAACAAAAATTCGGCAGCATTTCTAGATAAAATGAGCAAATCCCAACCAAAGTTTAAGCAATCTTTGAGCAAATTCCCAAGTAAATCAACCGATTTCAACTATTCTCAAACCAATTTTTCCAATAAACCGAGCGATAACTAACGATCCTAGTCAATTTTTCAAAGCATAATTGAATGCAATTATCATATTAGAACAATGTAATGTAATAATAACCAAGGAAAGAAAATACCTGATTCAATCGCTTTTGTCCCCAAAAAAATTGAGCTTCAACCCGGAATCCGCTACCATGCACCCCAAGCTTTGTGGTTGTTCGTAGATGCCAAAATGCAAGACTTGTTCACCAAAACAATATTTTCAACTTGATTTTTGTGAAAAATCCGACAACGGCTCGTGGTGGTTCAAAAATTCCGGCAAAATTTTTGGTAACATTTTGAGGTTTTGTTCGGTTGGATGTAAAGATCTTGGAAAAAGAAACACTTTGGTGGTGTCAGAATCGCGAGAGGTGGCCGGAAAATGCCCGAATGGTGGCGAGATGGTGGTGGTGGCGCCCCTAATTCCAACGGTGGATTGGAGGAAGTTTTGGGTGGGATTTGTAGAGAATGGAAAATGGTGAAGAATGGTCGTGGTCTCGCCGGATTCCGACCGGTACAACTCCAGGAAATCGAATTTTAGTGGGGGTGGGTGTTAGTGTTCTTGAGAGTTTGAGAGAAAAATGGTGGGATTTGTTAGGGTTGAATGAAGATGATGAAGTGTTGGAAGTTTTAATCCATGGTCAAGTTCTGGTAAACGAAAGTCAATGTTAGTCAACTCATTAGTCCACCTGGTCAACGGAAGTCAAAGTCTGGTCAACAAAACAAGATTTGGTCGTCAGGCAGCACGCGGGTTGCGTAGGGGAGGATGCGGGTCACGCAGATCATGCAGTTATGAGTCCATTTTGTGTCGCAATTTGAGGGCCGGCTACCCACATCAGCCACCCACCCGTGCGTGGGTCGCGCAGCTTCCTGCTCCCGGTTCTCGATTTTTCTCCGTTTTCTTCCGTTTCTTCACTAGTTCTTGATTTGGAAGGCCCCAAACACCTAGAAACTCTTGAATGCTTCAAAAATAACTCTAAAATACACATCAAAACATCTTCAAAACTTCTTTATTCGTATCATAAAAACATGAAAGCATAAAGCATTCCAAAAATGCCCCTCCTTAACGTCTTTGGCAAGACGTCCTTCTAGCTTGATTCAACATACTGGGACATCCAAGTGGATGATTTCAAGAGAATTTGTATTAAAACCTTCATAGAATGGATTTAATCGGTGCCCATTGACTTTGAAAATTTGTCCCGTTTCTTCACTTTGGATTTCCACCGCCCCATGGTCAAAGGTCTTTATTACAACAAATGGGCCAATCCACCTTGATCTTAATTCGCCAGGGAATAACTTTAATCATGAATGGCAAAGTAAAACCCATGCCCTGGTTCAAAATTCTTTCGAGTGATAGACTTGTTGTGGAAGAGCTTCGTTTTTTCCTTGTAAATTCTTGAGTTTTCATAAGATTCATTTCTCAATTCTTCTAACTCTTGAAGTTGAAGCTTTCCATGTCTTCCCGCCTCATCAATATTGAAATTGCATTGCTTGACGGCCCAAAATGAACGGTGCTCTAACACGACAGGAAAATTACATGGTTTTCCAAAAACCATCTAAATTGAGACATGCCTATCAGGGTTTTGTAAGTAGTCCGGTAGGCCCATAAGGCATCATCAAGCCTTAAACTCGAATCCTTTCTTGTCGGATTCACTGTTTTCTCAAGAATACTCTTCACTTCATGATTTGAAACCTCCGCTTGACCGTTTGTTTGAGGGTGGTAGGCGGCAGAGACATGATGAGTCACATTGTACTTTCTCAACAAAGCCTCCATCATCTTGTTGCAGAATTGCGTCCCTCGATCACTGATCAATGCCCTAGGCACACCAAATCTCACAAAGACATTAGATTTGAAAAAGTCGATAACTACTTTGGCATCGTCCGATCTTGTGGCTTTGGCCTCAACCCACTTAGAAACATAGTCAACCGCAAGTAAGATGTAAATGTTACCAAATGAAACGGGAAATGAGCCCATTAAATCAATCCCCCATACGTCAAAAATTTGACAAACAAGGATTGGATTTTATGGCATTTGATTTTTTTGCGAAATGTTTCCCGTCCTTTGGCACCATTCACAACTTTTACAAAACATATGACAATCACATGACATGGTTGGCCAAAATAGTCCACATTCAAGGACCTTTCTCAAGGTCTGGCTAGGTCAAAAGTGTCCCCCACAAGGAAATTCGTGATAAAATTGCAAAATGGATTGATATTCTTGTTGGGGCACACATCGCCTAATGATTTGATCGGGACAATGTTTCCACAAATAAGGTTCATCCCACACATAGTATTTTGCATCACTTTTTAATTTATCTTTTTGAGCACATGTGAATGTGTCAGGATAGCTTTTCGTGACCAAAAAGTTAACGGTATCGACATACCAAGGAGTAGATTGAGTAAGGGAAAGAGATGCTCATCCGGAAACTCGTCCCACAATGGGAGAGGAGTTTCATTTGAAGTGATCCGGCATAAGTGGTCTGCAACAAGGTTCTCACATCCACTCTTGTCCCGGATTTCCAAGTCAAACTCTTATAGCAGTAAGATCCACCGGATAATTCTTGGCTTTGCATTTTTCTTTGTCATTAAGTACTTGAGAGCCGCGTTATCCGAATACATAATTACTTTGGTGCCAAGTAGATATTTCCTGAACTTCTCCAAAGCGAACACTATGGCCAATAGCTCCTTCTCCATGGTAGAGTAGTTGGTTTGAGCATTGTATAGTGTTCTCGATACATAGTAGATCACATGGGAAGCTCTTGCATTCTATTGACTCAAAACGGTGCCAATATCATAATTTCTTGCATCACACATGATCTCGAAAGGGAGATCCCAATTTGGAGCTTCTATGATAGGGGCAGATGTAAGCAACTCTTTGAGCTTGTCGAAAGCTTCTTTGCACGCCTCATTGAACTCGAAATCAACATCCTTTCTTCGACACAATATGACCCAAAATAAGACCTTGACTCACCATAAAATGGCATTTTTCAAAATTTAAAACCAAATTTGTTTCAATACATCCTTTCAAAATTTTGGTAAGATTGGCCAAACACTCTTGAAATGAGTTGCCATATACGGTTAAATTATCCATGAAAACTTCAATTATATTTTCAACATATTCTGAAAAGATATTAACCATACAACGTTGGAAAGTGGCCGGGGCGTTACACAATCCAAATGGAATTCTCCGATATGCAAAAGTGCCAAATGGACATGTAAATGTTGTCTTTTCTTGGTCTTCCGGTGCCACCAGAATTTTGTGAAAACCAGAATACCCGTCTAGACAACAATAGTGAGATTTTCTGACCAACCTTTCTAACATTTGGTCGATGAAAGGTAATGGAAAATGATCTTTTCTATTTCTTGCATTGAGTTTGAGGTAGTCAATACATACTATCCACCCATTTTGCATGCGGGTGGGGACCATCATACCTTTGTTGTTTTCGACTACCGTGACTCCCGTCTTCTTTGGAACAACTTGCACCGGGCTCACCCATTTGCTATCCGAGATTGGATAGATCATCCCTGCATCAAGAAGATTTAATATCTCTTTCTTCAAAACTTCCATCATTTCCAGGTTCAATCTTCTTTGTGCATCCTGACTCAGCTTGCATTCATCCTCCACCAAGATCTTATGCATACAAGTGGAGGGGCTCAATCCTTTGATAACCGCAATCGTCCAACCCATGGCTTCCTTATGTTCCTTAAACACTTTAAGGAGTTGCTCTTCCTCGAATTCGGTTAGATGAGTCGAAATAATAACAGGAAGAGTCTCATTTTTTCCCAAGTAAGCATACTTCAAGTGTTGAGGTAGGACCTTTAATTCCAATTCCCGCGGTTAAACAAGGGATGGAGGCAATTTTGTATGATTTGGGGGTAATTCAATTTATTTGACATCTAATCTTGTGGATTTCTTCATCTCCATTATATTTACCAACTTCTCAACTTCTGGATCCAAAGAATAAAACTTTAATTGCTCGGCTAGCTTCCCACAATCGAATCTTTTACTTAAGGTCATCTCCAACATATCACCGTTAGATAACTCAAACAATTCTTGAGTAATT